TTAAAGGCTGAATAGTATTCCATTGTGTGTATCTACCACATTTTCATTATCTATTCATCTGTTGATGGCCATTTGGGTGATTCCTTATCTTGGCTATTGTGAATAGTCCTGCAGGAAATGTGGGAGTGCAGATCTCTCTTCCACATACTGATTTTATTTCTTTTGGATATACACCCAGTAGTGGGATTGCTAAATCATATAGTGGCTCCATTTTTAATGTTTTAAGGAACCTCCAAGCTGTTTTCCATAATGACTGCACTGATTTACATTGCCACAAACAGTGTGCAAGTGTTCTGTTTTCTCCACATCCTTGCCAGCACTTACCTTCTTTCCTTTTTGATAGTAGCCATTCTAACAGGTGTGAGGTGATAACTCATTGTACTTTAAATTTGCACTTCCCTGATTAGTGATGTCGAGCATTTTTTTCATATACTTTTGGACATTTATCTTCTTTTAAATAATGTCTATTCAGATCCTTTGACCATTTTTATAATCAAGTTATCTGCTTCCTTATTATTGAGTTGTTTGAGTTTCTTACATATTTTGGCTTCTCACCTTATCAGATGTATGGTTTGGAGATATTTTCACCCATTCTGGATGCTGTCTCTTTACTCTGTTGATTGTTTCCTTGGCTATGCAGAAGCTTTTTAGTATTATGTAATCCCATTTGTCTATTTTTGTTTTTTGTTGTTTTGTTGTTTATTGTTTTATTGTTTTTGCTTTTTATTTAGTTGCTTTATATAGGTTATTAAGTAGGAAATGTCTGATTTCCTTAAGTACTAAGCGTGACAATTGATATCTCTGACATTTCACTTAGACACTTCTTGTTTTATTTTTTATTGTGAAGGAGCATCCCTAGTCTTTCAAACACTTGTTTTGGATTGTGATTATCTTGCAAATTTTTTAGAACAATTTTTGTGAAACCATGAATAAGTCAAAAATTCATGAGTTCTGTTGTGGAATGTTGTGTCTGTGCAGCACAGACAGCTCGAAATATCAATGACATTTTTGGGAAGGATGTGGCTAATGAACACACAGTGGGTCCATGGTTTGAGAAGTTCCGTTCTGTTGATTTTAATCTTGACCATGAGCCATGTGGGTGACCTGAGACCAAGGTCCATAATGATGAGCTGAAAGGTAGAAGATAATCAATGGAAGTGAATCCATCTCAAGCTACACGTAAATTAGCAGCAAGGTTTGACATTACTATTCCAAAAATATTGGACCGTTTGAAAAAAATCAGCGAGGTCAAGAAGCTGGATAGATGGGTTCCACATAAATTAAACAAGTGTCAAAAGAGAAATCATCTCGAAGCTTGCTTTTTTTGTTGTTGTTGTCACGGCATAAAGGTGAAGCATTTCTACACTGTATTGTTACATGTGATGAAAAATAGATTCTTTTTGACAATCACAAGTGTTCGGTACAATGGTTGGGTAAAGATGAAGTGGCAAAACAGCCCAAACCTGAATATTCATCAAAAAAAGCTAATGGTATCTGTTTGGTGGTCCCATGCTGGTATTATCCGCTATAGCTTCATGAAACCTGGTCAGTCTATTACATTGGATGTGTACTGCAACCAGTTGGACAAAATGATGAGAATGCCTGTGATTTAGCAGCCAAGATTGGTCAACAGAGAGAGGCCAATCTTTTTGCAAGACAACACATGACTACATGTCGCAGAAACAATGCTGCTTAAACTACAGAAGCTGGACTTGGAAACTCTCTGTCATCTCCTGTATTCACCAGACCTTGTACCAACTGACTGCCACTTCTTCCAGGCTTTGAACCACTTATTGAGAGGAAAAATATTCAATTCTCAACAGGCTGTGAAAAATGCCTTTCTCAATTTCACAGCCACTTGCTCCCCAGGCTTCTTCACCACTGGCATAAATAAGCTACCCTTAAGATGGCAAAACTGTGTC